GCTGTGAGAGTGGAAACACTTGTCTTGTTCACGATTTCCAAGCAAAACCTTTCATCTCTTTCCGATAATCTGCTACTTGTTTCCTAATCCAAAGCAGTTGACATACTAGGATTAATGGTCACACTTACTGTCCATTCTGATTCAAAATTCCTAGGATGAAGAATGTGAGTGGCCCAGTGTCCAAACCAGGTCCACTTGTCCATGGCCATAAAGTAGACACAAGAGAGAAACATGGCTGCTAAAGACACATCCCTGTGGATTGAGGGTACAAAGGGGTTGGTTCCCAGATAAAGGGGGATTTAGACACCGTACAGTTACCTGTGGAGAGAGGTAGAGTCAGACAAGCAGTCAGATAACAGAAGCTGGCAATGTGTCAGGGAAATCGGCGTTGAATACAGGCCCACTTGTCTCAAACAGGAAGCATTTTGCACAACTCCTGCTGGAGCTGGAACTGCAGGGCGACTGTGGGATTCATTGGTTTAATTGCAGGGCATGACCATAGGACTGACTGGGCAATGTGTGGGACCCAGGTAGATCCTTCATCAACTGTAGAACTCTGGACAAATTTCTTGACCTCTCTGTGTCTCATTTTTTATATCTGGAAAGTAAAGCTAATAATAATTTCCTACCCAAATAATAAAAATATTTTAACAAAGTAAAGTAATACATATAAAGCATTTAGTGTAGTGCTTAGGATTTGATGTTAAATACATGTTAATGATCATTATTTTAGTCACTTTGTAGCATCGCTTTACACCTGACTGATCCTGGTGTTCTCCTTTGTAAAGTTTCTTTCCACGTTATAAATTTTATAACTTCCCCAAATTTTAAGACGTGATTCTCTCTCCAGGGTCCAGTTGTTTTGTGCTTTGGACTCCTACTGAATGCTGAACACTGAAATTCAGAAGAACCCAAACTAAATTTGTATTCTTTTCCTTGCAAATTCTTCCACTCACTAACGTTCTGAATTTAAGAGCAGTAACCTTTCTTTCAACTTAGGTCAAAAACCAGGAGCGATAAGAATTACAATTTCCAGAAGATCTGGGTCACTTGATTTGAAGCCATTTCTGGTTTCTCTTTCACACACTAAATCCTAGCAGTCACCAAATTCTATTTGTCTTTTCCATGTAATTATGAGCATGGGGCTAATAGTAACCATTTATGAGGGCTAAGTGCCAGAGACTATTACAAGTACTTTTTATAAATATGAATCAATTTAATCCTTCTAGCAACTTTATGGGATATGTATTATTTTTATTCTCATTTTCAGATTTGGAAACCAAGACTTTAAAAGTGCGATAACCTTCGGGTCACCTCTAGCAAGCAGCCGTGAGCAGCCATTCAGACTCCAGGGCCCTTACGTCCAACACTCAAGCCTCACTGCTGCTCTTGGTGAACCTCAATCATCCCACTCTCTCTATTATTTTTACCACAACTTGGGCAGTGACTCGCTTTCCTCCACACTTCCATTACTGCAATAGATTCCTAGTAATGCTCTGTGACTTTGCTCATTGTAATACAACTTGGAAACTGCTGCTAAATTGCTCTTTCTTAAATGCTGATTCTCCTATGTCATTACTTTGTTGTAAAGCCTTATATGACTCCCTGTTGCCTCTGTTGTATGAAAAAAATTCCATCCCTGGTTTTTTCGACTTTAAGTAATGTAGTCCCACACCATCTATTCAGCTTTATTTTGTCATCTACCACCTCCACAAACATGCTATTCATTCCTGCCCCTGGGACTTTATTCATCTCGACCGGTCCAAACTTTACCAATCTAAAAATATCATGGCTCTATGAACCCCTCCTTTCTGATGTCTTTAGTAGAATGTGACTTTTCCCTCCCCTAGGGCTCTCATAACTCTATCCTCTACCCCTCTTATGAGACCATATTCTGTGTCACAGTTATTTGTACACTTTTCTCCTTTCTCTTTGTTGGCTTGTGGAAGGCAGACTTCACTAATTTTCAGATGCCTTGTGGTGGCTTTTTCAATGCAAAGCACACAAGTAATCAATAACTGGTTACAATTAATATAAGGGAATTTTGGTTCTACCACCAGAATGTTTCTCCTTTCCTTTTTGTTTTGTTGAATACTTTCACACACAGAAATCTCACTTCTTGGCCAAGTATGGCAGCGGATGTTTCTAAGCCAAGAATTCTGGGAGGCTGAAACATGAGGTTCACAAGTCTGAGCCCAGCTTGGGCAATTTAGTTACTTCGAAAGATCCCGCCTCAAAACAAAAAATAAATGAGCTAGGGATTTAACTCAATAAAGAAGGCCATGGGTTCAATTCCTAGTGCCACCCAAAACAAAAAACAAACAGAAACACTTCACTTCTTAAATGAAGTTCTCTTTACTGCTCAAGTTCTTTTTTTTATTTTAAAAAGAAGCCAAAATAACAACAAAGATAAAAACCAAACAACACCAAAACAATAAAAGTGATACACAATTTCAAAACAAGATGATAGGAAATTAACAACAGTTGTTATATTACATATTGTTATCTTCATCAAAGTTGCTCAGATCACCAGATGTAAGAATGCAACATTGATCAAACCATTAAAGAGAATGAAAAATAATAATAATAAAAATTAAAAACAATACGAGCTTCACTAATCAAGATGGTAGGAATTCAGTGCACACTTCTCAGATGAAGACACTCAAGTTCTTAACGAAACTTCTCTTCTCAGAATTCTTGTAACACTAAATATTACCAAGTCTTTGTCTGTTCTAATTATAACAAAATACCTTAGCCTAGGTAGATGAAGTTAATCTCTGAAATTTTTGGAAGCTGGGAAGTACAAGACCAGGACAGGGGTGGAGGTGGTATCTGGAAATAAACTGCTCTCTGCTTCCTTGCGATGTCTTCACATGGTAGAAGGGGAGGAGCACAGAGCACTAATATGGCAGAAGGGATGGCTTTCCAGTGACCAGCTGGCTTTCTGAAGCCCCTTTCATGAGGGCAAGTATCAAAAACCGGGTTAAATAACCCTAAGTTATTGCAGGATGATCAGGCCTGCAATCTCCCAAGCGAGTGGACGATGAAGGCTTAAATAAATCAGACAGTGGTAATGATTTTAGGGTACCAGGAGAGACTAACTCTCTTACAGCTTCAGTATTCTCTGAGTTAGCCAAAGACTGCTGTGGGCGGCCTGTATTTATTTGGTTTTCAAACAAAGGAGGAGAACACTCAAGAAAACATGAGAATATCACAGGACCTTGGGAGAATTTTCCCAAGTAGTAAATTATGTCAATCAGGAGAACTATGTTGTCTCCAGGAAGGCCTTCACAGCACGAGTGAGATGCCTGCAGCGGCAGTCTCCTTTAAGTGAATTGGGGTTGGAGCCAGACATCCTCAGTTGTGGCCTTCAGACAACTCACAAGTAAACACGGAAAGCCAATTGTTAATATTAAATCCTGCTCAGAGACACTTTGTAGTGGTCTGCAACAGGCAAGACTTCCAATGGGTGAAGCCCTCACAGCTTAATCACTTCCCAGCTAGCCCCAGTTCTTAATGGTACCACTTTAGGGTCATCAACATGAATTCTGGAGAAATGCAGACATTCAAACCATAGGACCATACCATTTACTACCTTATTAATTGTTTTATGTGGCATATTCATTGTTTATGTATTGCTACACATGTCCTGGTACATACAGAATCTCAAAAAGTAGCTGTTGAATAAATGACTAAGTCAATCTTGCTCACCAATTGTAAGGTCCCTGAAATAGGAACCACACCTTATGTATCTTCTGTGTCTCCTCACAACTCAAAGAGGATAATAGGGACTTTGTGAATATTCACTGACTGATTGGCTCATGGATTTCCACTGCAAATCTGTCCTGGGTTCACCGCTGCTGTGTCCTCAGTGTGATTACACTGAAGAGGCTGTGAGTTCTCTGGCTTCAGTTTCCCAGCCTGGGAGGGGTCAGGTTACTAACACATAGAGGTCTTTCTCCAACCCTTTTTAAAATTTTGTCCTTAACTCAGGACCAGACCTTCTTACTGGGACAAATCCCTAGACAAAGAGGGGGGAATGCTAGGGATTTAAGAATTACACATGCAGACCTTTGACTAGGAATGACCCGATAGTGTTTCTTGCTGTATAGTTGGGGAGAAAAAAGCCACTCTGTGAGTACCTTACGCTGCCAAGAGGAGGGTGATATACCACAATCATGATGCAACAGTGGATGACTAAGGCGTCTTGCAAAATGGCACAAAGTCTCCCAGTAGGTGTAAGACATCAATTAGGATAACACTCATATACTACAATAATAATTTTTGTAAGTCATCCAGCCAATATGGTAGAGAGAAGCAGTGACCAGTATTTGAAAGTCTTGAGGGGCTGGGGATTTAGCTCAGCGGCAAAGCGCCTGCCTGGCAAGCGCAAGGTCGTGAGTTCGGTTCCCGGTACCGGAGAAAAACCAAAAAAAA